TTTTATCCCCGAAGGGGTAGGCAGAGGTGCACATTATGCCATTGTACAATGTAACACCCACTTTTCATTATTTATGTTATAAGTCCCATGTAATAGGGTGTGAGTCTATTGCCATATACCGGGCACAATTCTAGACTCAGTGGGAACGAAGAAAACGCTACCTTAAAACCCTTCAATACCCAACAAAAACGAATTTACTGGTTATTCTTAATTATAAGCGAGTTTAACCCTCCAATGATAAATCAAAACAGTCGGGGTCGCGGACAATGGGTGCTTATGGTCGTCATTTTGCTCCGGGGTCGAAAATACCCCCGACATGTAATAACAGGCCTCTGCCTAATTTAAGCTATCAATTCTCTGTGCTAATGTTCTTATATTATTTCTGTTATTTTCAGCTAATCATGTGTAATATGTTTTGTTTTGGGTTTACCTCTTGTGTTGCTCTTTTATAGGGGTTATTTTTGTGGTGTAATTCTTTTTTATCGAATAAGTCGGTAAACGAGCAGTCGGATCTCTGAAACCCCAAAATTATTCAAATTCTTATCTCCAAAAGGCTTACAACGCTATTGGAACACCTCTGGGTGCTTAGTCTTAAGCCAATCTCAATGTCAATGCAGTTTCAATCTAATAAAATTTCAATAATTATTCAATGTCAAAAATATACAGATATTGTAGCTGTTAAAATAGCATTCAGAGTACGGAATATAAAGCCAAACTCAATACCATTTAGTTTATTAAATATCCACGCAATACGGATGCAATGAGCGCCAGTGTTGCGACTCAAGAGTACGAAATTTCATAATACAAATGTCGATCGATCGGAATTGGAGTCAAGAGTAAGCCCTGGTCTTCCCTCTTTGAGGAGTGGCTTGAGAGACGCTACGGCGTCCTCACCTACCGCCTGACGCAGGTCCTCACCGGACATGGAAGTTTCGGAAGGTACCTGTGTCTGATGGGGCGGGAGGAAACGCCCGGGTGTCATCACTGCGAGGACCGCCCTGAGGACACGGTGGAACACACTGTTGCGGAATGCCCTGCGTGGGCTGAGCACCGCCGTCCCCTCAGAGAAGTGATCGGCGATGGCGACCTCTCGCGTCCGGGCCTAGTGCAGGCCATGATGCGGAGCGAGGGGGATTGGGATGCCGTCTCCTCCTTTTGCGAAGCAGTCATGCTAGCTAAGGAGGAGGCGGGACGCGTGAGGCAGCGAAGCGCTGCCTCCTCGCAACCCAGCCATCGCGAAGGACACACCGGGCGTCGGGGATCGCGAGACGATCTCCGGCCACCGTAAGCGCAGGCCTGCGGACGGCGAGCATGGGTGGCTCCCCGTCCGACCAGAAACAGACCCGAGCGTACGGCGCGTCGAGTTCCGCGTGCGCCTCAAAGAGCCATCAGACCACCACAGATGGGGCCCAATAGGGCCGATGCCGATTCGGAGTCGCGGAGAACCTAACGGGTAACCGGGGCTCCGGCTCGACGTGCAGGAGAAGGAACGGGGTGGTTTTTAGTCAGTAAGAGTCTGACACTCCCTTCCGCCTCACCCAGGCGGGAGTAGTCATTCGATGATTTTCCCCCCTTAAAAAAAAAAGCCCTGGTCTTCCAGATGTCTATAGGCGACGCCTATTGCTTACCTGATGGTGACCTGATGGTCAGTCGGCTGGATTATTGGTTTATCCCATAAAAATATAACAATAATTTCAGCTTCGTAGGAGAAGATTAGGTAAACTATTATGTATGTACATGAAATGACATAACATAATATCACGCCTTTTATCCCCGTAGGGGTAGGCAGAGGTGTACATTATGCCTCTGTACAATGTAACACCCACTTTTCACTATTTATGTTAAGATTCCCATTTAATAGGGGGTGAGCCTATTGCCATATACCGGGCACACTTCCAGACTCTGTGCTACAACTGTAAATTTTTAAAAACTCAGTATTACTTTGCCCAACCCGGGAATCGAACCCGAGACCCGTTGCCCGGCAGTCGCACTTGCTACCACTCGGCTAACGAGGCAGTACATGAAATAAAGTAACCAAATAAATTTTAAAGTCTTTATTTTTCTATTTCCAATGTGTTTATTTTTACATTTCATACAACTTTACATATAAATAAATAATAAAATCATACAATTATTTATTGTTTATTTATTACTTCACACTTTTAGTAATTTAAATCTTATTTTAATTCGTGGCAAGGGTTTTTAAAAACTATATATATATATATAGGTATTGTACGAAAATGTTCTTTATACTATAACCATAATAAAAAATAGGGATATTTTTAAAAATAAATAAGGTTACTAAGTACTCAATTTGAGAATATTTTAAATTTAGATTTCACTGTTAAATTTTAGACTGCCTTAATTTGGACTAATGCATTCTTTAACACTACGAATTAAATCAAGTATGTTTATATTAAAACCTTCTTGAGACATACTATAATTATTAATTATTATGTTTCCTGCTTAGACACATAACCGATTGACTAGGACTCGACTAGTGTCAAGCCATGTTCAAGTCCGCTGCGGTGCAAGCTCAGCATGCCTTGAAAGTAGTCGAGTTCCTCGACAAATAGTTACGTGAGTAAGCCGAAAACATAATAATTAAACAAGTAATCAAGTAGTTATTGCATCCATAATGTACACATACAGGTGGTTAGAAAATACAATAGTAATAAATACGGACCCTGTCGGGCACAGCAAAATTTAAAATTGGTAGGAGAGTTTAAATCATTTTATTGAGTCTTTGTAATAGGGATGATGACAGGGTATGATAATTAAAAATCTAATTAGTCCGTCAGTTAGGTAATGAAAAAATATTAGACACGTATTTTTTTTTATTTTGTTGTATAATAAAATGATATTTAGATATAACGAATCAAAGTTTAGGAATTGGGGCTAAAACGTCATTTCTACGTATAAAATGTACATAGAAGTGACATCACGCGACATTTCAAATCAATAATATCGTCGAAAGTATTCGTTTCTGTAAAAAAATAAAAAATACGTGTGTAATGTTTTAAAATAATCTACCAGACGGACATTAAAATAAAAAATTAGTCATCTACCTTATTATGTCCAGTGCTTAGCAAAGAGGTCATCTGCATATAGAGTATATCTAATTGAAGTATCCCTAACGAATCATCACAACGACATCGTTCACACCAAACGTATCGTCCGCCATCGACTGTGAGTTCGTATGCTCAGTGTTGACGACGTAATACGTAATAGCATGTACATATATTTTTTATTTTATACAGCTAAAGAGTTTGATTGTTTGAAGATGCTAATACCCGAGTTAATGGTTTGAATTTAATAATTATTTTTGTGTCGGATAGTCCATATATCGAGGAAGATCATAGGCTAAGAAACAACACGCAATGACCAATAGGAGTTTAGCAGCGGAAGCAACAGCCAAGAAGTAGTTAGTAGTATGTTATAGTCGGTTCGGTGTGAACGAGATGTTAAATCTAATGAAAAAGCGAAAAATTATGTGACGCGCGCACACAGTAAGCAGTCGACTATACATTTGGTGTAAACGATGCCGTATTGTGAGAGCGATTTGTGCGAAAGTAGCCAACAAATACAAGAAAAAACAAAAGACAAATATGCATTGGTCATTAAATAAATACACACCGATTTGATAACAATTAATATAACGTACGTGGCAGTTTTTAAGCGTCGTGGTGGCCCGAAGGTTTTAGACGCCGACTTTTCATCATTCATGCATAAGGTTTCGAAACCTACCAACAGCAAGTACCAATGTGACTTTTTCCAAGTTATATGTACTTTCAAAGATGTCTAGATACCACTGACAAACAGTGAAGGAAAACATTGTAAGGAAATCTGGGCTTATAAATTAGTAATTATAGGTTTTAAATCACTAACTCGCATTGAGCAAACATAGTATTAATGCCCAAACCTTTCCGTGTGAGAAGAGGCCTTTGGTCAGCAGTGGCATTTATAGGCTGTTGATGATGATAATGACATGGCAGTTATTAACTTAAACGTTATTTTGAATATAGTTCACACTAAGTGCCTACCCAACCAAGTTGAGAGAAAGGCTAAAAACTAAACAACAGCTCACCTCAAGGCAGCCTCAACAAACAGTTGAACAGTCGTTTCACAACTGTCTCATATAATTTAGTTTTATATGATACGCATTAGATATAAACTATCATTAACATACATATAGTAAAGTATAATTTGGCATATGACCGTATCTCTATCCGTACAACAATATCATCAAACCACTCAAAGTTCCTAATGTATAATAAATAATCTACGTACAAAAAACTTTATATTCTTATAACCTTACTTCTAGTTTTACACTTCAGTAATTACTCTTACAATAATTATTATAAAACACAAGGTATACGATCCTATTAAATCCCTAATCATCAATTCTAAACTAATAAAAATAATTAACGCATAAGTTCAGTCATTTCTTTACTTAACTCTTTGTTAAGACTGTATCAAATCCTGGATACTACAATGGCATTAAAATTATCATGTGCTATAAAATCGGGAACGTAATCAGGTGCCCACTTAGTCTCACATAGGAGTCACTCTCTCCGGCTCTTTAACTTCTTTCAAGGTATACACTGTTCGCCTTATTGCTCCTCCTTCGAACCGAGCGTTTGAGACGTGGTGCAGGACCTCAGGCAGTGATTCTCCATCCGAATGCATCACTGTGTCATCAGTCAAGTTCCCGCTTTCGTCTCGTCAAGATCTATGAAGAAATTCTGATGTTAAAACCTTCTGGTTGTTCGCTTTCAAAACCTTTTCGTGGTGCCTCAACCGATGAACAATCTCGTCGTGTAGAACATTGAAACACATTGCAGTGAGTGCTAGGCCAGTCATGATATAAATTGAGCAAAACCACACGGTACCTGATGATGCACCGTTCTTCTGTGTCGCACCAGGAGCTAAGTGTCCGAAACCAATCGTGCTGAGACTCATAAAGCAGAAATAAACTCCATCGATAGGACTCCATCCTTCTAACTGATAGAGACCAGAGCTCCAAAGAAGATGTAAGTAAAAATCGCTGCTAAACATAACGCAATAGGAGCTAAGATTGAGAATCCTCGTAGGGATACTTTGGAGTCTGTATCGGTGCAACTCATGGAGTCACAGTCTCTTAGAAAGCTTAGTCCTTGAGTTTTGTCTTTGATTGAGTTCGTGCTGACGCTGTGTGCTTGTGACGCTGATATAATGGTCCCTGACGGAGACCTGACGTAATAAGGTTCCTGTAGATGCAATGTCTGATGTCTGAAATCATCTTGTCTTCTAACTTTTTCCTTTCTTTCTTTGCTAGTCATTGTCCTCTCGTCGAGGCAACAGTAACCGCATTTTGTGCATAGACAGCAACATAGTGCTCTGCTGAAGACGCTCCTGGCTAGTCGTGATAGCAATGCTCCTACCACAGAGAGGTATAAAAGTGTTAAAGGTATACCTATGACTGCATACCCTATGGTGACCGCTTTTCCTAGTGCTGTCCTTGGTGCAACGCTGCCGTAACCTGTAAACAAAAATTTACTTAGATTTTCTCATTACAGACCACAGATAACGCTAATGGTAGTAGTAGTAATGTGTTTAAGCAATTCATCAGTTGATATCCTTTTTATTTTCACAGAATACTTGCTATGTGTAAAAAAACATAATACCTATAACTTAAAATCACGCCTTTTATCCCCGAAGGGATAGGCAGAAGTGCACATCACGGCACTTAATGCCACTGTACAATGTAACATCCAGTTTTCACTATTTGTACATATCATGAGTGAATATCAGGTTCGATTCCCGGGTCGGGCAAAATATTACTGGGTTTTAAAAAAAATCTCAGTAGTAGCACGGAGTTTGGAATTGTGCCCGGTATATGGCAATAGGCTCACTCCCTATTACATGAGACTCATAACATAAGTAGTAAAAAGTGGGTGTTACATTGTACAGTGGCATAATGTGCACCTCTGCCTATCCCTTCGGGGATAAAAGGCGTGATGTTATGATGTTATGATGACTGAATATGTAATAGAGAGTGAGCCTATTGCCATATAACAGGTACAATTCCAGACTTAGTGCTTTTATTGGGATTTTTTTAAAGCCCAGTTAGACTTTGTCCCACCCGGGAATTGAATCCAAGACCCCTTGCCCGGTAGTCGTACTTGTAATTTGTACTTGTACCACTTGTTTTTGTAATCTACATTAATGTGTACTCAAAGTAGTTAGTTTCTGTTTAAGCAAATATTGAACTAACTGTATTTATCCTGATAGAGTAAGGCTAATAGGAATATTTACCAATAACTTGTTACTTTATATTTACTAAAATAAAAAATTGATCAACAACAAATGCCTTACCGATAGTAGTGAGAACAGTCAGAGAATACAGGAATGCTTTCGCAAAGTTCCACTCGTAGTCATCAACGACCAAGGCAGGAGCTGACTCCAAGGCCCTTGCACCACCATATTGTGCGGAAACATCAGCTGCTACCCTTGCCACCAACTTCTCTTGGAACCTGGCAATCTCCTGAGCTGCCAACCTCGTCCAGTTCTCCTTATACAAAATGTTCAAGGACACTGTGATCTCCCAAATGCTTTCCACCGTCTGCGACCTTAGTTCGGCACTGGCCTGACTTATAGTCCCATTTAATTTTGACAGAGGAACTGTTTTTTTGCTTTCAGACGCCTGGTATGAAGTTGTAGCAAGAGTTTTCTGATGTATCTTGGCCGCACCACCTTCAATAGCTAGGAAGATGAAAGCTCCAACCAATGTGTAAGCCAGGAGCAAAGTGAAGATACCAAGATTGGTGACACAGCCAGCTATGAAGCTCTTCTTTTTACTCTTCTTAGTTTTAACGCATAGGCAACACGTCGTGATGACGTCATCGTCAATCCTGTAGTTCTCTTTACCATTCTTCTTGTATTTCCCATTAGAGTGGTTCTTCTTCTTTATACTCTTATCCATGTTCGTTTTCATGAGCTCGATAGTTCTCGACGATGATATTCTAATATTATGTCCAACCGCACTCTAACCCACCTTCTTGTTATAGATAGGGATATGAGAAGCGAAATATCCATCTGTAACAAAAGAGTAAATGTTCTTTTATTTTCCCAGGAATTTTATTAGTTTCGAATGAGGTTTCGAGTCTGCGATATAAACTCGAATTCAACAGAATAAATAAGTTTACTAGAAAAAGGCGGGCGTAATAAAGGGAAAGGGGAAGATAAAGTAAATTCAGTAAATATAAAGTAAGATAGATTAGCATATGGTACAAATATAGGATAGAAAGTGTGTTATCTTGTATTATTGTTTAGACAGAGTACGGCATTTAATTTTACTGTTTGTATCTGTATAAAAACCAAAGCAGTACTCGGTGTTCATTCTTAAAAAAATAAATACAGACCTATTCCCGTTATTTTAATAAACATTAAGAAAGAACGGAATTTTTTTTTTCAAAATGTAGTTACAATAGGTGTTTTATCTTAATTAATTCTACCGAATCGGTGTACAAGTATTACACTTATTTTCTACTTATATATTTAAAAGTACTATTCTACAACAATGTTTTTGCAATCTTTGTCATCGAGAAAATCTTTAGTTGAGTAGTAGCACTTATTTAACAGAAACTTAAAAATAATTATGTTCTGAATGATATTCATTAAGATTTTTTATATTTTTTTTTTAGGTCATTTGGAAGCCTATTATAAATTTTGATAGCCATGCAGTATACATTTTGACTGTATAGTGTAGTGAGTTGACTCGGTATAAATAATTTGCTAGGGAATCTACTATTTCTATTAGCTACACTATTTTTCTTAATAAAGATATCAGAGTTTTTGTAGACAAAAATGGAGACCTCGAGTTTGTTGAGACTGGGTAATGGCAGGATACGATGTTTTTTACCCAAACAATGATCTGGGTGCAGGGCAGTGCTTGGTGTCTTGCATCTGTTTTTGCACCTTTGGGAAACCTTCAACAGCCAAGTCCCACAACATTAACTATAATAGTTAATAAACAAATCGCAGTAAGGAAACCGCATTGGCACGACTTTGTCTAGATTTCATTACTATTTAGAGATGAAATAGCAGCTCCATGGAGACTTGGCTAGTGTTTTACAGAATGTTTTTGATTGGATTCATATTACAACTTTCATTGTCATAAAAATACTATTTTTAAATGCGGCTCCATTCAAATTGTAACCACAATTTCTCTTTTTTTCTTTTCTTTTCTTTTTTTTTTAAAAAAAGCCCCACATTAGGATTTTCTCCTGTGTCGTGGGTGCGTTTACAAACATACAAGTTCACATACACAGTAACACCCAGACCCGAAACAACAATTTGTGGATCACACAAAGTGTTGTTCCGTGCGGGAATCGAACCCGCGACACGTTGCACGGCAGCCGGTTGCCCAGCCACCGCACCAACCGTGCAGTCAAATTTCTCAAACATTAAAACACCACAAAGAATTACAACCAGCTCATACATTTTTCAAATAGACAAACAATATTACTAAAGAATTTCAGACAATAGTTTCACTAGATTTTGTTGTGGGGCTTAGCTCAGACAATAGTGGATTTAGTTTCATGAACTTACTCTTATTTTAGTACTTGGTTTAGGTTCATTTTATGACCTAAGTATATAGAGGCACATCAGCCATCCAAATAAAGTTTCTTGATTTTACTGTAGAAGCGCTGGGGAAATGAAAAAGTGTCTGACTTTCGCCTTTTTTTATTTTGATGATTATTGAACCCAACGAAGATTTCTTTTTCTAGTTTTGTTTTTAATTTATTTGAATGTTTGTTTTTGTCATTGTACAGTGGTATTAAGTGCCGTAATGTGCACTTCTGCCTACCTCCTTTTTTTGAGGGGGAAAGAGTCATTCAATGACTTCTCCCGCATTGGGTTAGGCGGGAGGGAGTGTCAGATTCATACTGACTAAAAACCACCCCGTTCCTACTCCTGCTCTTTGAACCGGAGCCCCGGCAACCCGTTAGGTCTTCCGTGGGTCCATAGGGGCCAATAGCGCGCGGGCAACGGCCCTGTTGGGCCCCATCTGTGGTGGTCTGATGGCTCTTTGAGGCGCGTACACTACCAAATGTTAGTTTATATAAAAATAAGATTACACCAAACGCCCTCTAGTGTTAAGTATGTGCAACTAGTGTTTTATTATCTGTGCCTCAATAAACCGACTTCACTTCTGTCAAGTGAATTCCGCATGTACACGTCGTTTTATTAGGTTATGGGCCCAGTACTATGGCTCTTATTTTATATTAGCTAAAATATCGCGAAAGTTATAAGTTATCCAATAATAGTTTGTGTGATAATAATTCGCAGTAGGATATTTAGTGTAGCTAGCATAGGCAATCATTTCGTTTTCAAGAAAAAATAATGGCGGCAAATTACATTGTCAATGTGCCCAAATTACGAGGAAGAGAAAATTATAGCGAATGGGTATTTGCAGCGGAAAACTTCTTGATCCTAGAAGGGATGATGAAATGCATCAAACCACAGGAAGATGCAAGATTGTTTGCCGAGGATGATGCAAAAACAAAAGCAAAGCTAATTCTCACGATTGATACGTCATTATATGTGCACATTAGAAATGTTTCTACTACAAAGGAATTGTGGGAGAAGCTAAAGGCCTTATTTGACGATTCCGGATTTGCAAGAAAAATAACCTTACTACGGAAATTGATTTCTATAAGACTCGAAAATTGTGCATCCATGATTGCATATGTGACACAGATTATAGAAACAGGGCAAAAGTTGTGTAATACAGGTTTTCAGTTAAATGAAGAGTGGATTGGTTCATTGTTGTTGGCAGGGCTACCTGAAAAATATGCCCCCATGATAATGGCCATAGAGCACTCAGGAATTCAGATAACAACGGACGCCATAAAAAGTAAGTTACTTGACATGGAATCGGAAGATGGAATGAACGAAATGAATGATGGAAATGGAACAAACGGCGTTTTGGTCAGCGGTTATAGAAGTAGGCAACACTCATCGACGGCCAGGAAGTCTATGGTTAATAAAAATCAACATGGCGGTTCAGTGTCAACAAAAGCGAAGAAAGAAATTAAATGTTATCGATGCAAACAAATAGGTCATTATAAATCACAGTGTATGGCTGAAGTGTCGAATAACAAAGGCAACGAACGCAAACAAACAAACGTATTCAGTGCCGTTTTTCTTAGCGGAAATTTTAACACGCAAGATTGGTATATAGATTCTGGAGCCAGTGTGCATTTAACCCCAAATAAACAATGGCTCACGAATATTTCCAATGAAAAGAAAGGTCAGAACATTACAATTGCTGACAAGACGCAAGTGCCGATTGAGTGTTCAGGCGATATAAAGATTTTTACCGAGGTTAATGGTAGAAATTTTGATGTGGACATCAAGGATGTGTTTTGTGTACCGAAACTAACAACTAACTTGCTATCAGTTAGTCAATTGATTCTCAAAGGGAATAAAGTTGTGTTCACTACAAACACTTGTGAAATATATAATCAGAAAGGTACACTGGTGGCTTATGCATTGTTAAAAAATGGAGTTTATAAGCTGCAACTTCAAGAAACCATTTCTGCAGCAGCAGTCACATCGGGAGAGCTCTGGCATCGCAGATTAGGACACGTAAACAGTGAATGTCTGAATAAAATGCAGGATACAGTTGATGGATTAACCTTGAAAGAGAAAGTTGACATCTCAAAATCTAACTGTGATATTTGCTGTGAAGGTAAACAGACTAGATTACCTTTTAGTCATGTGAGTGAAAGAAGTACGGAAGTCTTAAATATTATTCATACGGATATCTGTGGTCCAATGGAATGCAATTCTATTGGAGGTCATAAATACTTCATTCTATTTGTTGATGACTTTAGCAGAATGACAGCTATCTATTTTCTAAAAAACAAAAATGAAGCTTTGAAAAGCTTTATAGAATATAAATCGTTAGTTGAAAATCAAACAAATAAGAAGATAAAAATTATAAGAAGTGACAATGGAAGAGAGTTCTGTAATGGTAATTTTAATCATTATTTGAAGAAATTTGGAATCATTCATCAGACAACATGCCCATATACTCCTGAGCAGAATGGATTATGTGAACGAATGAACAGAACCTTAGTCGAGAAAGCAAGGTGCATGCTTTTTGATGCACAGTTAAGCAAGAAGTTCTGGGCCGAGGCCACAAACACGGCTGTATATTTGCATAATCGCACAGGTTTATCAGTATTACAAAGAAAAACACCTTATGAACTATGGCATGGTGTGAAGCCCGATGTAAGTCATTTAAGAGTTTTTGGCAGCATGGTAATGACACACATAGCTAAAGAAAAGAGACAAAAGTGGGATAAAAAGGCCCAAAGAGGTATTCTAGTTGGCTATGCTGATGCAAGTAAGGGCTACAGAGTGTATGATCCAGATAAGAATATGATAATAACCAGCCGAGATGTGATAGTTGTTGAAAAAGAAAACACTACTATAGCAGTAGTAGAACAGAAAACAGTAAATGAAACAATTAAAAGTACAGACCAGACATCTTCAGTGGGGGATGTGAAAGAAAGCTTGTCTGACACTCTCACATCCCAAACAGAGTCTACAAATAATTCTGATTCTGAATATGTACCAAGTGAATATGAAGATGTAGAAGAAAGTTTACAGGAAACTGTAACCACCACAAGGGAAACTAGAAACAGAAAACAACCTGATAGGTATGGTTTCAGTAGCCAACAAAATGTCTGTCTTCAGGAAGCTGGAGTTTTAACTTTGCAGGAGGCTTTGACTGGACATGAAAAAGAATATTGGCAAAAAGCAGTAAAGGAAGAACTTCAATGTTTTGAAGACAATCAAGCTTGGGAGTTGGTTGAAATTCCGAATAATAGTGTTTGTGTGGTTCAGTGTAAGTGGGTTCTAAAGAAAAAATGTGATGTGGACGGTAAAGTTTTATATCGTGCTCGTCTA